TCTGGCCCTATCCCCGCCTCCCCCTCCCCCCCAGTACAGTGCAGACGGGAGGGGCGCCCAGGTTCCCCAGAGAACGGATGGCTGAGCAGGAGTCAGCCAGATTGGAGGGGGCAGGAGGCCTTTTCATTCATTTATTCACCCACCCATTCATTCGGCACATGTTTCCCGGAGCACTGTGCTGATCACGGAGTAAAAGACTCACCTCATGTCGCCCTGGCCGGGGAGCTCAGCTGGTTAGAGCTCAGTCCCCATACGCCAAGGTTCCAGGTTCGATCCCCGGGCAGGGGACATACAAGAAGCAAAGAATGAATGCATCAATAAGTGGAACAACACATCGAGGTTCCCCCCCCCATCTATAAATAAAAAATTTTAAATATAGAAATAAAATAAAACTGCCTCCGTGGGACTTAGAGTATTGGGGGTGGGGAGCATGCCCAGGTTGAGATTGGGCTGTGGAGGCCAGATAAAGAACCGGAGTTTGGGGGTATGGGGTGCAGGAGGCGTCTAGAAGGATCTTTGAGCCGAGGGGAGAGGCTATCCCGGGATCCCTGAGCTGGGGGCGCCCCAGGAACCGGGCGGGGAACAGGGACGGTGACAGGTCTCCCTCCTTCTCGGCCTCCCCCTGGGGCCTCCTATTGAACAAGGCTGGTCATTCGGGGGGAAATGTAATCCCTGGCTCTTTCCCAAGGCCCCCGTGAGAATTCCGAGGGAAATAATGGCTGGGAAGGTGATGGGCCCACACCTGTGCGGGGTTGTTAATACTATCACGTGTTGTTTCTGAAGACACAACAGAAGCGGAGAAACCGAGCCCCCCGGGCTCCTCCCAGGGGCCCCTTCCTCCTCCTGCCGCAGTCCACCTGGCTTTGTGAGGACACAAATCCTCTCCCTACCCGGCTGCTTCCCACAGCCCAGCCCCCTCATTAAGTCCTTTCCCTTCCCAGATATCCTGGTCTAATCCCTAAGCCCTTTCTCACCCGTCTCCAGTTGTCTCCTGGGGTCAAATCCCTCTAGAATGAGGTGGCCCAGTTACCTGTGAGCACAGAGGCCGGGGGCAGGGAGCTGGGACTTGCAAACGGACCTGAGAAGCACAGATTGGTAATTGCAAAATAGGCATGGGATGCAAAGGACAGCCTAGGACGGGGCTGGCGAACCTTCTGAGCTCGGCGTGTCAGCATTTTGAAAAACCCTAACTTAACTCTGGTGCCGTGTCACATATAGGAATTTTTTGATATTTGCAACCATAGTTAAAAAAAATATTTATATTTTTGATATTTATTTTATATATTTAAATGCCATTTAACAAAGAAAAATCAACCAAAAGAATGAGTTCGCGTGTCATAGGTTCGCCATCACTGGCCTAGGAAATACAGTCAATAGTATTTCTTTTTTTTAAAATTAAATATATTTTATTGATTTTTTACAGAGAGGAAGGGAGAGGGATAGAGAGTTAGAAACATCCATGAGAGAGAAACATCGATCAGCTGCTCCTTGCACGCCCTCTACTGGGGATGTGCCCGCAACCCAGGTACATGCCCTTGACTAGCCCAGGAAAGCGCCTTCCCTGAGGCCCCAGCCTCTCCACCCCACGGAGGCGCTCCGTCTGGTCAGCATCCCCAGCCCCTCTCTCTGTGAGCCAAACCGGCTTCGGCTTTTTTTTTTTTTTTTTTTAAACAGTCAATAGTACTGTAATGATTATGCAGGGTGTCAGGTGGGCACTGGAAATATCAGTGGAGTTGGGAGGCGGAACACTTTGTAAATTCTAATCACTATGCTGTACATCTGAAACCAATGCAAATTAATATTGACTGTAAACTGTCATTGAAACAAAAAAAAAAAATTGAACTCCCCCAGAGGGTTAGGGAGGGGAGGGGAAAGGAGGGGCAGGGGGAGGGGCTGGAGCCCTGCCCCAACTCTGACACCAGCTAGCTCAGATCCTCCCCTGGGAAGAGTGGGGTCCTTTCTACCCCAACTCCCTGCATTCAAGATAGAATCCAGATTTATTCTCTTAAAATATATTTTTATTGATTTCAGAGAGAGGAAGGGAGAGGGAGAGAAAGATAAAAAACGTCCATGATGAGAGAGAATCATGGATCAGCTGCCTCCTGCACGCCCCCCACTGAGGATCAAGTCCGCAACCAGGACATGTGACCTTACCCTGAATTAAACCCGTGACTCATCAGTCCCCAGGCCGATGCTCTATCCACTGAGCCAAAGCAGCTAGGGCTTCCTTGTGATTTATATAGCACTAGCACACATTTGTATACGGGGCTCTGGGGTTCTAACTCCAGGTATGGGAAAAAGGGAAATTAGCAAGATGATCTCAGAATGGGACCTTCTCCAATTGGGACATCCAGGCCAGCCCTGGGTGGCAGGTGTCCAGGTGATATATACGTCCAGGGCGGTGTGGGAGCAGGGCGATTACGAGCTACTATTTGTGGGGTGCCAGCTATAGCTTAGCATTTCCTATATTATTTCATTTAAAACTAACAACAACTCTCTGAGCTAAGCCCTGCTCGCTCCTAATTGTACAGATGAAGAAACTAAAGTGCCCAGTGGTGAAGGCACCTCCGAAAGTTACGGAGTCAGTATGGTAGAGTTGGGACTCAAAACAAGGCCTTTCTGACCACAAAAC